ACTTTTCACCAATCTGCCGACGCAACAGGAGAAGACTGACAAACTTGTATGCTCGGGAGTTTATCAAATGTGGAAACTGTGAGCAGAAGTATGTTGGTGAAACAGGAAGAAAGATCGGCCTACTAATCAAGAAACATCACATACTCTGCATGAAAATGGATACGAAAAGATCCAAAATAGCGGAACACATTGCACGAAGGGGGCACGAAATCGACTGGAAATTGACCGAAAGGTTGGCTGCATGTGATGAAGATACCAGAAAACGCAAGATCCGAGATGCCATCGAAACACTGACCGTGAGAGATCTAATGAACAGGAGACTTGAAGAAGGCAGGATTAGCGAAAACTTTGCATATTGCCTAAAAAAACTCGGAGAGGACCAGGCAACAGTAAGATCAGCAAAAAGAGGACGACTGGATCAAGGCAATATCCTTAATTTGAGGAAAAGAGATCGCGGGGGGATGAGAAAGCAACACTCAGAAGCCTAATCAAAACAAGTGGAACCACAACATTTACGGTTTGGCATGGACATGGTACGGCAAAAATTGTGACAGGGAAGGCGTGATAGGAGGATTTGGGAAATGTGAATAGGCCAGGGCAGAAGGGGAGATACCACAACTGTTAAGCACACATTTGGTCAAAGGATCGTCTTCACTTGTCTCTTTGACGATTTGTAATATGTTTCTACTAACGGCGATACTCACCAACGATGCCGACTACGATGCCGGCGAAACGTCTGGGAATGTACCACGTCCACGGTCCGACGTTGGAAAGGATTATGCATACAATGGACTCCGGACTAGGCTCCAGCCACTTTGGGTCGAATAAGATGTCAAATTTTCCCACATTTTTAGTAAATTTTACACTAAGTCTTGCTCTTAAATGGTTATGCTCATTACGGCCAAAGTAGACTGCATTGTCGGCCTCGATATAATTCGTCTCTTCAACGGAAGTCAAATACAAATGGTTCTGCCAATTCTATTTTCAGATAGTCTCGAAGCCTACTTTCTGTGAATATAAGTAATGTGGTCGATTGTAGCGGCAAAATACATAAAAAACATATCTTTTCTGGAACCAAAGCACACGCGTGGCCATGTGGGGCAGAAGGAGCACCGCCCAGGCTCGAGTCCCGTTTGGTAAGCTCTTGTGATTCTGGTGAGTTTGCAGATTGAATTCATTCCAGCTTAAATGCAAATACCTTTCGGAAGTCAACGCTGATTGAAATTTAAGGGAAACGTGAGGCCTGCTCGTGTGAATATGGAAAATTGTAGTCTTGTGTCATCCAGGCTGACTAAAAATCCTATTTTTTGCGTCTAGTTGCTGATTTAGGACGATTCAATGTCTCATGTACGGTTTGTTTCACATTTTCACACAAAATAAAAGTGAGCTCAAGAATTTAAGAAAATCAACTAGGCATTTTAGCAAAGGGGACGGCCAGATGAACTCAAAATTATGGTATGCCTGATCAGAGTAATAAGATTAGACTATCAAAAGTAGGTTCAATAATAAATGGTCATTATTCCGGGCTTACTCGCTCTGAAAAAGTTTGCCATCCCAGACCGGGTTTCTGGTTAACCCAAATTATTAATCCTTCTTTCAATATGAAATAAGTTTTATGGGCCTCAATTTTCTTGTTAACCTTCTTAGCGCGGCCTCCTTGAGTGTATTACCATCCAAACTTTTATGAAATGAAATTGTAGATTAGACAAGCATATATTTTTCATTAAGGTATGCTACACTACTTATATCCATTAAAAGTAGGGTTCAAATTGATCGGTAAATTATATATTGCGTACTACTTGGTTTCACTCTAGCTGGTGTGAGAGGAAGCCGATGAGACCCAGCCGGCTATATGAAATTCAACTCAATTATTTAGACTTTATCACTTTATGAGACCTAGGCTGACTGGAACTCTTATCTCTGTAGATCTTTTGTCAGTACCAATGAGGCTGGGGTTTGGGGATATGAAGACTTTTTCTTACCTCATTCCTGGTAATCTGACTCTCGAACCCTTCTTAGCCCGATCGTCTTTTCAGCCTTTGGTTAAACTATAATTTAATAAACACTCTTAACAGCATGGCTCTTATTCTCTGCTGTATTTCAGGACCCACCTTTTAATGGTTCATTTTGCTTTAAGCTGATAAACAAAGTCAAGTGAATTTTTATTTATTTCGATGCATATAATAGGAAATAAAGTTGAGCCGCGCACAAAAGGCAAATAGCACGTTTTTCGAATGTCTTCTTCAAAATAGATCCTAAT